GTAGTCTACTGGTAGTGTGTGTGTGTGTGTGGGGGGGGGGGGGGGCAGGGTGGGACACTTTAGCAGATTAAGAAATAGTAAACTTTTTGAGTACAGCTCTCTCTGTATTATAATCTCAAGAGGATGAGAAGTTTTGAGTTTGAAGAAGATAGGAAATGGGTGGAATTACTTCAAATTAGTGAATTTATAGTGAAAAATGTGAACTTTACTGTTCTCAGATGGATAAATCATAGAATATTACAGTTAGTTACCGAATTTCTGAAATTAATGCTATGTCTAGTGGTTGAGATGCTCCATTTAGGCAATACTGTGATTTGCTTGTTTAGCCATGGAAGTGTTGGCTTTGAATTTGGGGCAGTCATAATTAAGTTATTTTTTAAATATTGATATGATCTAGAAAGACCCAAAAAATGAAGATTTTATTATTCTTTTCCTTTTATTGCTGGAAGTTTTGGTCTTTTTGTCCAAATTTATTCAAATTGTAGTTTTGTAGCTCACATATTGTTCGGTATCAGAGGCGGAGCCAGAATTTCAACTTTATGGTTCTGAATTTTAGAACAACGACGTCAAGTTCCAATAACTTGGTTTTAAACTTTATATTTTTTCATATTTATTGAATTTCGTAATACAAATACACTGTTTGAACAAAAGCTGGTGGGCTCGGCCGAACACGTAGGCTAGCTACACCCCTGTTTGGAATAATATTTTAAGGTTGCAGTTTCTTTTTATGTTAGTTTGAGGGTTAAGTTTCTCCAGTGTCTTCATGTATTGTCAAATGTGGATTATATAGTTAATTTCAACCTTACTGATTTTTTTCAGTGGATGTCCTCCAACAAATCGCCAAAACCATGGGTGCAACATATTTGAATTTCGATGCAGATTCATGCAGAATTGAAGAGGTTGGAATCAGAGTTAAGCCACGTGGGTGGTATGAGAATATTGTCGAATGTGATCATGGCATCGGAGGTGACGAATTCAACCACATCACAAAAATGTGAGGCATTTATACCTTGTTACTAAATCAAGATTGCTTAATTTGTTTCTAACCTTTAGCTTGTCATGCATGCTTTCTATCTACTGCTACATAGTACCATGAGCGTGACCAATATCCGCGTGCTTATCAATGTCACCCCAAGGCCAGCTTGGGGACAATCCAACTTTATTTTTGTCAAAATGGGATTTAAGAACGAACTCAAGGAACTTGAAGTGAAGAAGTTTCAGATTTTTCATGAACTTCCTTTCCGCTGGACTATTATGTATGGTTGCTTGAAAGGTTTATTCAAACTTAAGTATTCCTGGAGCTTGTAAAGAGAAACAGCATAGGCTATGCTTTTATTGGGTTTAGATTAGAAAAGCTATGTAGAAGTTTCCTTCTAGTGACTTCATACTAACTCTTCTCTCTCAAGATTGACTAAATATACCACTCATTGTGTGATTTCCTTTATCAGAAGCAGTCACTTTCTATTTTTCTTCTTTTGCGTGCGTGTGCGTGTGTGTGTCCGCGTCTTTATTTGTTTCTATTGCAATTGGTTCCATAATTGAAGCCTGTATATTATTTTCACTTATGCAGTGTGTTAAAGGGTTTAAGTCTTCCTGGAGTTCTCCCACCTGAATTGGTAAAGCTTCCCAACATCCGACAAATGTAAGAGTTGTTCTTGACCATTTTCGCAATTGAAATTTTCCTAATTGATGTGACTAGCTTCTTTTTTCTTGCCAATATCAACATTACTCACTAAATCTTTTGCCTTTTTCTTCGTGCCCCATTTCTAGTGATTTTGCATACAACTATCTCAGTGGTAGAATACCAGTTGAGTGGGCCACAACACAGCTGACTAACATGTAAGAACCCGCTTCTTTCCGGCTGATCAGTTTTGTCATGTCTTCACTTGCAAATTGTAATTGTATACTTTTTGATCCAGCTCTGTTCTTGTAAACCGGTTGTCAGGGGGAATCCCAAAGGAGTTGGGAAACATCACCAGCCTTTTATACCTGTATGTATTCAATTTCTTTTGAACTTACTTCAATGATATCGGTCGAGTCTGGATTCTCCTAACTAGATGGAGACCGCGGATTTGTCCATATGTGGTTATTTTTTCCAAATATAATTTTGGTGGTTATTTCCTCTCATTGTTTCTAGTATTGAAAATGGATCTTTTAACCAGGAACCTCGAGGGGAACCAGTTTTCAGGCACTGTTCCTTCTGAACTAGGGAAATTGATCTACATGGAAACCCTGTATGACCTCTCTTTGTTATCTTCTCTTAAAGCAAACTTGAAGAACAATTGGCACCTGAATGACCAATGCATAGATGAGTGACTTTATCTTTTTCTAATTTCAGGATTTTATCCTCCAACCAATTGGTGGGAGAGGTGCCAACTGCATTTTCCGAACTCGTAAATTTAACGGATTTGTAAGAACATACATCCTAGCCAGCTTTTAGCTCCTTTCTTTTTCGCGAAATAGTATATCTCACAGTATATTTTTACCATACAGTAGGATAAGTGATAACAATTTCAGCGGACAGATTCCAGATTTCATACAGAACTGGAAACAACTTACCAAACTGTAAGGTCTTTGGAAATACCTCCCAAACTTCAAAAAAAAAAAAGAATTGGCAGAGTTTCTAACTGTTTCTTGATGATATATGAAGGGAGATGCATGCCACCGGACTAGAGGGTCCCATTCCATCAAACATATCTCTTCTGAATAAGTTAACAGATTTGTGAGTAATAGTAGCTTTCAACATTATCTTCTTCCATTAGATTTTTGTAGAGCATTTATCTTTGCCAGTTATCTCGTGGTCAATTTCGTATACAGGAGGATCAGTGACATAGGTGGACCAGCTCAAGCATTTCCTCCACTGAGTGATATCATGGGCTTGGTAACCTTGTATGTCAGATTGTACTGATATGTGGAAACCATTGTACAATTACAGTGTGTTATTAGACATTCTAGTTTTCCTTAAGTTTATTAAATATGGATACAGGGTACTGAGAAACTGCAGCCTTTCTGGAGAACTTCCTGTATATATTTGGGCGATGAAGGATCTGCATACGTTGTAAGTTATGGACGTACAGTTAGGCGAAATAAATTTTTCTGCTTCGACTATGACTGTCCTCTGTATTAGGTATCATGTTGATATTCTGCTTCGTTAGCTCTCATTGATGTCCTTTTCCTTAATATCAACTTCATGTTGATATTTGCTTTTAATTAGTCTTCTCATCCTTCCTCTTCTTGTATCTCTCCAGTACATTCTTTAGTTTAACATATAGAGTCACTCTTTTATACATTTTGCTCTTCAATATACATGTGACAGTTGTAAGAGTTTGTGACACACAGATTCATCTCCTCCATCTAAGAGTTCAAATGGTAAAATACTTTCTAATCATGATTTTCTGTTTAATTTTACTGCAGAGACGTTACCTTCAACAAGTTAGTCGGAGGAATCCCAAACAATATTAGTGCTAGAAGTATGCTGAAATTTGTGTAAGTTGAATTGCAAAAGGTGGATTTCTGGGAAATTATCCCCTTTTGATTTTTCTGTTAGCAAGTTAAAGCAGTCTCTTCTCTTCTCTTTTCTTCTCAAGCTTCTTTTGCTCATACCCAAACATCTTGGAGTATGAAGCATATAACATATTGTTGACTTCCAACTTTGCTCTTGCCTAACCGCTTTATGTTCTCTACATAGGTTTCTTACTGGCAACATGCTCAGTGGAGTTATACCTGACTCAATTTTGAAGGATGGAATAAATGTGTAAGTCTACACTTGTTAATATTCTAATTTCATAAACATTTTCTTCTTGTGCATGATAGGATCAGTCTTTGCGGAACATGTCTTAGTTATTATTCAAAAACATAGTGATCGTACACTGGTGTGCCAAAGCAATTTTGATTCTTTGATCTCGGCAGTTTCTTTTCCACATTTTGTCTTCATGCGGATCTCACAAATGCTTTGTTCATAATTGGGAAGATGGTATCTGACAGCATTCGTCGCATGCAGTGATCTTTCCTACAATAATTTTACATGGCAAGGACCTGACCAACATGCTTGTCAGCAAAATATGTAAGGAAAGGTCCTTATTTGTTAATTCCTGCTCTTAAGTTATTTTACTGGATGAGCATATATGGTTCTCAGAATTATTCCTACTACAGGAATCTGTATGTGAACTTGTACAAGAGCTCTGCAGCAGCAAGCCCCTTGTAAGAGGATTCTTCTAATTATTCTGAAACACTAATTCATGACGAAACTGAGGGAAAAAGGAAGTGCAAAGCTTTGCTTTCTCATCTGATTCAAATTTGGGTCTAACTGCTTTTGCGCTTTAACTTTTACAGAAGGAGCATTCTTCCATGTACAGAGGATTTCACTTGTCCTCGGTGTAAGTATGTTCTTTTCTTCTCTGGAAAGTATACAATTTCATATGAAAAACACAACCCAACAGTAAAGAATCTGATGCTTACTCTTTAGACCCTTGGCGTTCTCTCGACAACTCGACTAGCAAACTGCTCAACTATCAAAGAGACTGTAGCACATTAGTATCATCTGTTATATTAAAATGCCAATACATTTTAATGTTGGATTCAGTCCTAAAATCATATATCTACAGGTTTTAAGGTGATTTGTGGATTCATAACCTAATGATTGGAAATATTCTCTGCTTGATTATTCTCCCAACTTTTGAGAAATATTTTGAGCACCATGAATTGAGCACTGAGTTCTACAATTTTCCTTGCCAGATGGGTGCTCATTACATGTTAATTGTGGTGGAAATGATTATACCGTAAAGGAGGGCGGCCGAGAGGTTATTTATGAAGGAGATGCAGGAGTTGATGGTGGTTCTGCTAGATATTTCAGTACTAGTACCAATTTTTGGGGATTGAGTAGCACTGGGGACTTTATGGATGATAATAACGATCAAAATGCTCGTTTTATTGAAAGTACACCGTCAAAAAGTCTCTCTGAATTGTACAATAATGCGCGGATGTCTCCCCTCTCGCTCACTTACTTCCATTATTGCTTGGAGAATGGGAGTTACAATGTCAGCTTGGATTTTGCTGAAATAACTTTTACAAATGACAGCTCCTATACCAGTCTTGGAAGGCGAGTGTTTGATATATACATCCAGGTTGGTATGTTAATTAGAAAACTTTCTATGCTGTTAAAATATGATTGGATGTGTGAAGATAGAGGAAAGAAGGGAGAACCTGTACTGAATTTTGTTGTTAACAATATACAATAAGATCCTTATATGGGCTTTTGGACTACTAGAAATAAGGTAAGTTTAATCTTAATGAAATAAAAAAAGTTATTAAACAAGGGAAATTACCCATACACTTGGATTCCTTATTGTAACAGAATTAGAAAGAATACTCTCTAGTATTAACCTAAAAAATATTTTAACACATTTACTGCATTAATTTTCTTTTCTTTCAACACGTCCCTCATCTCAAGGTGGTGAAGCTACTTGAGTTCGTAAATTTTAGCTCAAAAGTGACATGACACTATCTTGAGACGAAACTAACTAGGTATGACACTACCATAAATCCATTAGACATGATTGGATTTGAGGACACTCATGCTGCCAGCTTAACGAGATATCTAAACGAAAGCAAGCATGCTGCCAGCTTGATCAGATAGCTGACAATATTTGACGATCAAATGGTGCTGACCAGGCATTGACTATAAACATGTAGCTGGATAAGTCGCGACTGGAAATGTTTTCTGGACGGCAATATGGTGCTGTCTGAATGGTGACTTGTTATTGTCGACTTGACAGGTCAAAAAACGTGGACTGATGATATCAAATTCTAGACAAATGTGAAATGATATGTGGCATGTGCTGCCCAAAAAAAAGTGGCCTGAAGAGAGACTAGGCGTTGACTAGAAACATATTGAGTCGCAATTAGAAAGTTTGTTGGACAGTGACATGGAGCTCTAGACTTGTCAGCTTACTGCACAAACATAGACTGTTGATTTGACAGGTCAGCAGATTTGAACTGATGATATCAGGCCCTAGGGCAAATGTCGACTGTTTATATGTGGCACGTGCTGGCCAAAAGAAATGGCCTGAAGGGACATGTAATAATGGCATTGCTGGACCAGTAACTAGAAAGATACAAGAGTAGTAAAATTATGAAAAAATGAAAAACCTTGTCCGGATAGGTGGATTTTGATGGAAGATATTAGATATATAACAAGATAGTAAAGTCTCTGATACCTTGTAAAATTAAATAAAAAGAAGCTCCTTATCTAATAGCTTCTCCTGACTTTCAAAAAGATGCTTACACAATCTTTTTCTGCTCCAGGAGAAATTAGTTTGGAAAGACTTCAATATTGTGAATGAGGCTGATGGAGTTCAAAAGCCCGTAGTTAGGCATTTTAACACCAGTGTGACAGATAATACCTTGGAGATTCGATTTTACTGGGCTGGCAAAGGCACTACCAGAATCCCAGTTAGAGGGAATTACGGCCCCCTCATATCTGCTATTTCACTCAAACCAAGTAAGTTCCCTCAACCTTCATCATCCAAAGGGGAATGACAAAGTATATCCAATTTTATACTTTCACTTGGTTTCTTTCTTTGTAATATATTGTGTATTTAAGGATATCTCGTAAAAATCCTACAGAGATATTCTAGAGATCATACATATCATCTGATCAGGTCACAGGATTGGTTACTTGCTTCTAGAAAAACACTGCAACAGAATGATTAAATGCTCTGCTAGACTACTTGTGGGGTTGACAATGTTAATCAACTTCCATGTAAAAGATGTTGGTGTTCTAGCTTCCTTGATCCAAGTCAATATGTGGGAAATCTGATTCTAGCCCATTCTTCTCCCTGCTGTTTGAACACCTGTTGGTTTCTGAAATTGCAAAAGATAATTGGTTGAGTATCTATCTCAACAATTGATTTGCTTTGGTCTCTTCAGAGTTTCTTCATTTTTATAGAGACTACAAGTAAAATATTATCAGCAATTCAGCATCAAAAGCCAATTTGTGAACCTTTACTTCGCCTGCTACAAGTGATGGAAGGAGTAATTTTTCATTAGCATTCCTAATTTATTATTGGGCAAACTAGTTTCTTTAAACCAAGCTCTTAACTTCATTCCTGGCTTGATCTGCTTGTGGTTCCGTACCATCTATAAGTATTAGTATGTTCCCTGATTTGTGTTTCTACAAGCTCTCCTAATTCTTAATGAAAGGTAGCTTTTAATTCCCTGGAATTCCTAAAGTATTTGCCTTTCTTTTATATACATATTATATCTATTTAATCAGCTCTTCGTTTGTATGAACCATCAAAAGCCAAGTGTAATTGGTCCTTGCAAGTTCGGGGCTTGCAGCAGACAAGTTAGATGCTAATATTAGTACAGCACATGTGTTTTCCCGAATCTCCTGCGTAAAAGGGATGAAGGAGGTATATTTTCAGAAGTAGTAATGTTAACAGGGAAATTAAAGTTCACCATTTAAATTGATGTGAAATTTTGTAAACTGATGGTTTAGAAATGGAGCAAGTCTATGCAAGACTGAAATGGTTGTTTTCGTACCCCCTCCCTTTTTTTTCTCTCTTTTGGGTAATGCTCAGAGGCAGCGAGAACTGGTGAAATATGGGTCATTCTATATGGCCGTGGAACTCCATTTTCATAATTTTGGTTGAAATAGCAAACCGAAGTCCTTTTTCTCAGCTTGAAGGGGTGTTGATGAGTGTAAACATATTTACTTTGCTTTTATTTTCCCATGAATGACATGTGCATGTTCAAGTTCTATGTAATCAACTTGATGAATCTTAGCTGATTGAACTGCTGCACACACGTAACAATTTTGTCTTCATTTATGTGCAGTTTTTAAATCTTGTTCGGAGGAAGATAAGAAGAGTGCGACTGTTTATGTTATTGTTGGAGTAGTGGCTATATGCATTTTCCTGTTGGTAATGAGCATACTTTGGTGGAAAGGCTATCTGCAATGCAAAAAGAGACAGAGAAAAGGTGATCACTGAACATGTGTTCGAAAGAAGTAAATTTAACTAGCAAATTTTGTGACTAGGCAGTTGATCCATGCATTGCTGATCTGAAAGAGCACATTCTACTGAAATGATAATCAACAAAACCTCCCTATCCAGAAGTTGTGAGTTGTAAATAGATGACTAACCATTAAAGACCTTATTTCCATGACAGATTTAGAGGGCATGGAGCTGCAGACCGTTTCTTTTACTTTAAAGCAAATAAAGGCTGCCACTAACAACTTTGATGCTTCTAACAAGATAGGGGAAGGTGGTTTTGGCGCAGTTTACAAGGTATCATTATGGGAACAATAGTAATGGTAGCATCTTTGTTATCGTTATTGTTTGTGAACTCTGACCAAATATTTGATGTAGGGCCGGTTATCTGATGGTACTTCAGTTGCAGTGAAGCAGCTCTCACATCAATCAAGACAGGGAAACCGTGAATTCTTAAATGAGATTGGTATGATTTCTTGTTTGCAACACCCAAATCTTGTTAAGCTGCATGGTTGCTGCATTGAAGGGACTGAACTACTGCTCGTATATGAATACTTGGAGAAGAATAGCCTTGCTCGTGCATTATTTAGTAAGTTATTCATTCACTTTTTAAAAAATTCTAAACTACTACAAGCTCTCTATGAAATGTTCATTGACATTTTAGTATGATGGACATCCTTAGATCCAGAGAAAAGTCAATTGATACTTGATTGGCCGACAAGGTTCAAGATTTGTGTTGGGATTGCTAAAGGTCTAGCTTACCTTCACGAGGAATCAAGCCTTAAAATTGTACACAGAGACATTAAAGCTACTAATGTACTGCTAGATAAAGATCTAAATCCCAAAATTTCGGACTTCGGGCTGGCTAGACTTACTGAAGATGAGAAGACCCATATTAGCACTCGAGTTGCTGGAACAATGTATGTTTAGATGCAGAATTCAAACTAGATTTTCTTTTTGCCTTTATCTTGTCATCAGTATGGTTAGGTAAAATTTGTGGCTTAATTGTATGTTTATAACTGCAGAGGATACATGGCACCAGAGTATGCACTGTGGGGTTATTTGTCCTACAAAGCAGATGTCTACAGCTTTGGGATTGTCCTTCTTGAAATTGTTAGCGGCAAGAACAACAATAGCTATGCCCCTTCCGACAATTTCATTTGTCTTTTAGACTGGGTATCTTCCTTTACCTTTGTTGTTAATGCACTTCAACACAGCCAGACCAGTCTGCTATTTTTAAGATTGAGAATCGTTGAACTCTTTTAACTGAAAAACCTCCTTATAAAATTTTATTGCAGGCCTGTCACTTGCTACAAAATGGAATAATAGAGGAGCTCGTCGATGATAAATTGGGTTCTCGTTTCAGCAAAGCAGAAGCAGAAAGGATAATAAAAGTAGCACTATTATGCACTAGTGCGACGCCATCACTCAGGCCTCTAATGTCTGAGGCTGTAGGCATGCTTGAAGGGAAAAGAGATGTTCCTGATGATATCCCAGAAGCAAGTACGTACACTGATGATTTGAGATTTAAAGCATTGAAAGATTTCCAACGAGAGAGGCAAAATCAAAGCGCATCAAGTAATCAAGCTCAGTTAGCGAGCATACAAACTGCCTCTGATCTCTGTGAATACAACCCGGAATCAAGATCTGACTGAATCTATTATTGTCTTTCTTATTTGATCTCTTGCCGGTGTAGCAGTGGTTTATGGTTCTTGAGAGATTGCATTGGTTCAAATATTTTCAAAGAGTTGGATTGTTGTAACTATTTGTATATTAATTCTTTTGTGAGTGAGATGTCTATAAAATGTACATAAATCTCCCAAGAAAAAGTGTCAGGGGCACCATTTCTCCAGCTGTGCAGTTTTTTGTACCTCAGTGCTAGATTTCAAAATTGTATAATCTTCTGCTTATTTGCATTACATCTGAAATGCGGACTATGGGAGTTCCTCTTACACAAAAAAACAGGTTCTTTAATCGAAATGTCAGTTTGTATGGCAGGTCTTTTTGAATCTGTGCCAGTGCCTATGCTGAAGAAACAAAGGTCATTTTTGGTGAAACTGGAGATGTGTTCTTTGACCCTAGATGAAACTGGTAAGAACCATAAGACTGTGAAATCTTAGTAGCAACTTCAACACTGGACACTTGATAGTATATTCCATCTAAGGTAAACCTTCAAAGTATGTAATATCTGGTCTATCTCTACTTTCACAAGATAAGAGTAAGGTCTGCGTACACACTATCCTCCCCAGACCCCACTTATGGGATTACGTTGTTCCATTAGAACTCCCTCCATGACTTCTCAATACTACCTTAGATTAATGTCAAAAAAGGAGGTCGATAGATACCCTATAAAAGGCAAAACCTATTGTTCCATATACAACAACAACAACAACACAAGTGGAGTCTGGGGAGGGTAGAGTGTACGCAAATCTTACCTTTGCCTTTAAAAAGGCAAAGATTGTTACACAAGTGGAGTCTGGGGAGGGTAGAGCGTACGCAAATCTTACCTTTGGCAGAGAGGCTGTTCCGGTAGACCCTTACTCAGGAAGGAGAGAGGGGAGGGGCAATAACAAGCAACTATTGTTCCATATGTTGCCTCTAATATTATGGGATCAACTTGAAGAGATTATTTGGCAGATGTGGTCCATGGGGACGTATAGTATCAACAGGATCAACTTGGAATAAGCAGTCAGTTAGAGAAATATATACCAATGTGACTGTTGAAAAGGATGGGTATTGTGACGGAAAAGGACATTAATAGGATAGTCTCTGTCTAGAAGTTGGACAATCTGTAATGGTGCCCACAAAACAAAAAAAGTAAAATTTGTTATTTACCTAATATTGGAATATCTAATGAAGATAATCGTGATACCAAAAATACGCTCGTAATATTGGAAGAGAAAGCATAGTGCTCATAATATGCTTTGACAAAAAAGGGACAAAGACAAACCAAAGCATGTTGGGAATATTAGTGATGGAGAATTGAGGGGCGGATTTAGGGGTTCACCCGAAACTCGTTCGTCGGAATATTATATTTTCAATCTTCTTGAGATATTTGAAAAACATAGCTCAGTGGTCAACGAGGCTTTAAAATCTTTGTTAGATTGTTGGTTCAATTCCCATTAACCACAATCTCTTTTGATTATAGAAATGGCTCTATAATAGCTAGTGTGAAAAAAACATGAAAAATTGGCATCCTATAACAACGTAAAAATTGCACGGGGCGCCCTATTTGGTCGCCCCCATTTAACCTATACCCATTTTTTTTTAAAAAGTTTTAATTTGTACCCACTTTTTAAACAACTTCAGCCCCCTTTCTCCTCCTCCTTCACCTCCTTCGTTTTCTTCTTCTTCTTTCTTCTGCTGCTGTTGGTGCTGCTATGAAACTTCAGTTCATGGGATGATTGCCATAAGTATGTTTATCAGATTATTTAAAAATAAATTATAACTAATTACATAAGTTAGTAGACAATAATTTGTGAATATTTCCATGTACGGAAAGTTTAAGGCCACACTTAGTGATTCTTTTCATGATAATTCTGTTCTTTTCACGTTTATTTGTTTCCAAATGATTTAGATACTGTTAGCAATCTGATTATTTTATAGTAGTCTGATTATAACAAAACTAATGAATCCAGGACAAAAAAATTTCAGCTTATTTAGTGCTGAAGTTTTTACAAATGAACTAAATAACTTCAGCATCTTCTGCTGAAGTTTTTGAACAAGCTTTATGACAAAACTAATGAACCAAGGACAAAAAAACTTCAGCTTATTTAGTGCTGAAGTTTTTACAAATGAACTAAATAACTTCAGCATCTTCTGCTGAAGTTTTTGAAAAATCTTATCCAGGACAAAAAAACTTCAGCTTATTTAGTGCTGAAGTTTTTATAAATGAACTAAATAACTTCAGCATCTTCTGCTGAAGTTTTTGAAAAAGCTTAATGACAAAACTAATGAATCCAGGACAAAAAAACTTCAGCTTATTTAGTGCAATTACAAACAAAAACTTCAGCAAATAGAGAATAAAACTTCAGCTACTATGCTTAAGTTCAGCAATTACAAACAAAAACTTCAACACACTTGGTTCAGCAAACTTGCTACTTCATGCCCGTCTACTAGAATGCTGAAGTTTTGCGTGATTGCCTTTGTTACTTCAGCCCCGTATGCTGAAGTTACGCGAAAAAGTGGGTACACTTGCAATTTTTTTTGCAAAGCGGGCACAAGTTAAAACGTGACCCAAAAAGCGGGTATAGATGCAAATCTCCGTATAACAACACAAAACAGAAATTGGCAATTTTTTAGCCTTATATTAGATTTGGCAAAGATAACCCCAAACAATTGGCATTATATAGCCAAATCTTAAAGAAACTACTCTTTTATATTCGCTCTAAAAAAAAAACTACACGCTTGTTTTGGCTTCCGTCCCCCTTTCTCTCCTTGTATTTCTTCTTTTATCTCTTCTCTTTTGCTCTCATAGTTTAGCAAAAATTCTTGCAAATTATGCAAAAAAAATCAGTGGGATGAAAAGGTAAGGTTGATCTCACATCAGAGAAAATCAGAAGCAAAAACTAAGAGAGAAAATATATTTCAACTTTGTTTTTCTTCTCTCTCCTTTTTTTTTGGTTGGATTGAATGAGTGGGTGCGATTGAAATTGGTTGAAAATACCTAAACGAGGCTATATACAAAATTTGAGCAAGATTAGAAGTGATTTAGACTGGTTTCAGGTATAAAATCAGATATATCACGTTGTATATCGTGTACATCAGTGTATATCACACACAAGTTTTTAAGGACGTCTATGTTATCAATTTGTATATCCTGTATACAATACAATTTTTTTATAGACGCCCGTGTATATCACATTGTATATCGTATATATAACACAAATTTTCATGGATATATACATAATATACATGAGATATCACTGATGTACATAGAGATATACACGGGTTACAATAGGGGATACACATGTGAAGTCGTCTTGAACTTGAGTTTTCAATCTGAAATGTGTTATACAAAGAAGGAAAATAAAATTTTAATAATTTTTTTGATATACGCATTATTATTATGTTATACTTTTCTTTATTTTAGGTTAGGTTGATAATCTGCCTCAATTAACCTTAATTATTGTAATAAGAGTCAGCGAATAGGTCTTTAATTATTAATTCCTCTGTCCCAATTTATTGAATAGAAAAACTTATCACTACTTACACCAGCAATTTTTTCTTCTCAGTGGCGTCGGTAATAATTAAGTATGATAACGGCAGTCATAAGATAAATTACGTTGCAAGTCAGTCACGCTAGAAACAACTCCCTCCGGTCCGTAATAAGTGACTATTTAGTCTTTGTCACACACTCCTTAAGAAAATACGAATTCCTAGAGAAAAAAAAGATATATTCACTAAATTGCGTTTGGTTAATTGTTATCTTGACATACTGAGATATGTAAATGTTTGACCAAAAGATATTGAAACCTTTTTGATTAAATCAATTAATGAAGGTGAAGAGGTAAATCTTAGTCAAGCATAATAAACTCCAGATCTATAAACACATCAGAAAATGATTAGTAGAATAAAGTAGGGCGATCAATCTCATTGATGTTTTTCATTTCCTTCTCTCACCAATCGATGAAGATAATAAGTTTACATCATGTATGGAAAATTGTTTTGTCTTCTTTTTGCTAAGAAGATTAAAGAGGAGAGGAGAAAGAGAAAAAAAGCCCCCCTTTCTAGGAAGGTTCCCTCCCTATATATAATCATGGAGTCCTTGCTATGTTCTTGGGTCAATGCTCCTTCATACCACGCCCGTTTTCGTCGTTCCCTGAGTATTGTTCTTCGACTTAGCGGCCACTGTGAATACGTGGTTTGGAGAAAATCATGACGTCTTTCACCGTCCCGCCGCTTGGGCGGGATCCCAGTTGGGTCGACCACAGCGGTCAGATTTTGACCAATACAGTTAGTCCCTCCGTCTGCCGGGGTCGTCTCTTATCGGGCCTGGCAGGCGGATTATGATTTTTACACATCCAAGAGAAATGTAACTATCTACCCCTCGGGTATGATTTTTAGGTTCAAGTAATGTAACAGCGCTCTTGCGATGCCCTTGGACCATCGTGACCGTTTCGGACTCGAAGCATCGTTTGAAACGTCGTTCGTGGTTGCTATCATTATGACACACGTTCTCAGGGGATTAAACCGTTTCGTGCCCTATCAGCTTCGATTGGCGACTCTTGGGTTTCACGCTTGGGGAATTTATGTCTCTTATAAATAGAAGGAAAGCACCACTCGATTGACACACTTCTTTGCCTTTGCTTGAAAGAACTCTGTGAATCTTCTTTTCTCCTGACACTTCGGGTTTTTGATTTTCTCCGGTTAGCCAGGAACTTTCATCTTAGTCTCTTCTTTTTTCTTTGATCCCTTTGTTTTATCAAATTGATATAAATGGCTGGTAATTCTTCCCGTGCTGATAATTCTGCCGCAACTCCGGCGCCGGAAAGTGATATTCCTGCCCCTGGAGGGGTAGAAGTGGTAGAAGATGAGGGGGTCCCGTCGGCCGCTGAGATCTTGCCTCGCCCTGGGAAGCCATGGAACGATTTCCAAAGCCCTGCCGGGGAGGAGCTGGAACCTGCTTCCTCTGTTATGACTGAGGAGGGGAATGCAGAGTTGAAGGCCAGATGGGGGATTCCTCACCACGTCGAAATGCTGCCGGCAGTGGGAGATGACATTATACATTTCGACAGCTCAGGATATTGTGCGTTCTATGCTTATCCCTTTATTGTCGGGTATACGCTTCCTCTACCTCCCTTGGTGGTAGATTTTTGCCGTTTCTACAAGGTGTGTCCGGCTCAGCTTTCGCCGTACTTGTATAAATTGTTCCTCATGCTGCTCAAGTTCGCGGATCTTGTCGGTCGAG